AGTATATTTGGAGGAATAATCGTACGAAGGTACTTTGCCAGTGACAGGGTAAGGTTATTTCCTCATTTAATCAGCAAATGTATTGAATGGCGAGTTCAAAAAACGTTGTTCAAACATAGTAAATTATACATGCGGTGAAGATGCAGCCGCTCTAAAGGCCTGGTCAATATTGTGTAACACTTTATCTCCAAAAATATCTTAAATTTCAGATATTAATACTGAATCTATCGCTATTTGAATTGTATTTTGATAAGGGTAACTCTTCAGTTAATTATTTTGTAAGGACACAATCTAGTCTTCAATTGTTTTGTAACTGGGGGTAAATAAGTGATTGAGCTGCCAGCTTACAAACCTAAGATTTTGGGAAATATATTCCGAGATATCAAGGTTGGAGGAGCTGATTATGGAAGCTTCTAGTTGTTTAAATGGAGCTATGATAGTAAACCGTATGCTCAAAGTGTGCACAAACTGTGTCTAAGAAAAATTTAAAAAATAAGACTGCTATTGTTGCATAGCCAAATATTTAATCAATAGCACACTACACGATTTACTCATAAGCCAATAATAGAGAAGATCTGAAAACGAAAAAAACGTAATACATTTTTTTAATGTTTAGTTTGTCACAATGTGGAAGTGGATAGCTGTAATATTTTGTATTATTATCTACACTCAATGTAAGTATATCACTGTCTTTTTTTGCCGATAAGGTACACAACAGTAGGACGTAAAACTCCATTTATTTCATTTTCATTCCTAAGTTTATATTATGTCTTTATATAACTATATCTCTTGTCTATTAAATGACAATATTTTCTTTTTATTTGACTGACTTACTCCTTCATATATATATATATTGAAATTGAATTGAGCCTGTCACTTGCTATGAGCATTTGGTTCTGAGTTTCAGTAGGTTAAATTGGGAAATTACGTAATATTTTTCAAAATTGACCATTATGCGCATGACACGTAATCGTGCTGAGGAATATTTTCAAAAAATGCACTCTCTAACCGTTTATATCCCCATTATTATATTGAGTGTCGGTTGAACCTCAAAACCATGCATATCCATCACGAGGTCCTCGTACCACATGGTAAGAGAACGTAAAGGACAAATTATTAACTCTATTATATTGTACAGGTGTTAAATTTGGAGAAGATAATAGTTATATCTGTCACTGTATTAATGATGAACAATGTGATAAAGAAACTGGTGAATGTAGTGGAGTATGTGCTACAGGGTGGTCAGGATCTACTTGTCAAAAACGTAAGAACATTTTAGGAAGCATTTAGAGAATGAAGGCCCTAATCTAGATTAAAACTGAAATATTGTTTGCGTTTTAGTTTGTGGCCATATTCTATTTGACATTGTGTTTAAAAAATAAATATATGATAGGACAATATATCTATATTTAATAGAAAAGATTTTCAATAAATTCTAATGACAAAATATTTGTGTTTTTCACCACAAGATCACGGATAATTTTACTGAATTTGTCAACTGATTTTGCATTTGCCAATATGGCAAACTTAGTAACCATAACTACTGCAAATATTGACGAATGGCTAAAATATTACCAGATGTAAACAAATTATTGATATAAATTACCATACCAGTGCCAGTCGTTGAAACTTAAGACAAGACTCTAATCGGTGACAAAAGTCTCCGACCAAGAGATTTTTGTCATCATCCAATCAGATTCATTTGCCTTTCAATTACATGCTTAGCACGTGATTATCGACAAGGTCGAAAGCAACCCACAGGAGGTTTTTGTCTCCTCGTGTGCCAGTGCCAGTCGTTGAGACTTAAGACAAGACTCTAATCGGTGACAAAAGTCTCCGACCAAGAGCGATAGTGTGCCCCATCTTTAATTAGTTCTATCACCTTTATAAACGAAGTAAATATTTTATAGAAAATGTAGCTCTTGGTAAACCATCAAGTCAGGTTGAAACAAATGGTGCTGGAACTTCTGATTTAGCTGTAGATGGTGATAATACTACCAATATACCTAACAAATGTTCTGATACTAGCAAGGGTGATTCTACACGATGGTGGAGAGTAGATCTACTGGAAGAATATCCTATTAAATATATTACCATCTATTATCGAAACCATCGTGAGCACCAAGTTAATTCTTAGAAAACTTATATAATCATAAATTCAATAATAACAATATTCTAAGTATTATCATATATATTTCTGTAGCTTTAAACAAATAATTATTTCTGTTCATCAGTCCTTCATTCATTTTCTGATTCCATAAAAATTGAACAACATTCCTCTTTGACCTATTTCCCGATATTGAGTTGGAAATAACATAATAATACAAGACAGCCCAGTAACATTTACTCTGTGTATGGAGTGTACAGTAATAATCTCTATTTTTAGTTTTGAAATAAGTTACTGTAAATCTGTTTGTTGACAAACTCTGTCCTTTCTTTCCTTTTTTCATCAAATCATTTGACAATAATAATAACAAACATTTTAATGCTAACTTTATTTTGTGTTTCAGCTAGCTGGAGTGAGTAGAAATATTATCTTACTGTAAGAATGATTTACTAATAGAGGACATACCTCAAATTATATCAATATCAGAATTAGCTAATTACATTGATGATATGAAAATAGATACTATGTAACGAGCTCGAGCCTCGTTCCTTCTTCCTTTAGAGACTTGAAAACATCTTTTTATTCTGATCAGTCAGTTTAGTAATGTGTCAATTTATAAACCACTTCTCTTTTTGTCTCTATTATTACTTGTTGGTTCTTGTTCGTTTATCATTTATGTCGAATAATATGTTTATACATAAACAAACAGCATTATGGAGCATAATCCTTTATTTTCTTTGTTATTTTATGAAACTTCGCCTTACCACTTTTGTCTAGTAGTTCTAAAGTTGCATGCTTGTTCTTTAAAATAACTTAAAACCGATTCGTCAGTTCAAATCAACAAAATAAAATCACGATGTCGCAAACGCACTAAGCCACTTGTATGTATCTATGTTTCTTTTTTACAAACATACTTTCAGCCTTATCATCATTGAATGGATTTTCAATACACGTTAATAGAGATAATGAAGAACCAGAACTATGTTATAAAGATGATATTATACGTTACACTACACGAGCAGTAAATAATATAGAGTGTAGTCAGGTTATAACTGGTCGTTATGTAAATATCAGTAATTTCCATACGAGTAAAGATGCCAGATTTTTAGTCTTATGTGAAGTGGAGATTTATGGTAAGCTTCATGTCTAGAAAAGTATCATGGTATTACATTTCCTATCGATATCCCTCTTATAGTAGTCCACTGTTCATGACAAAATACAAGGCACTCCTACAACGATTAACTCAGTCAATATAAAAAGCAACTGCACCAGCTTGGGTTAATGTTCATCATGTTTTGCATCTAACAGACCTACTGAGCATTGAAGCATTCAGCAAACATATGGCCAAGAAAATTGAAAGAGTATCTCATAATTTGCCCTCAACTAATAGTTCTGAAATAAGCTTAAGTGCTCGCAAAATTAGAAACGAGAATCACTGAAACAAGTCAAAAGAAGTTTTGTAATGTTTGAACTCGTTGTTATCTATTTCTCCTTTTATAGCCTGTGATAATGGTACGTATGGTGCTGGATGTGATAAACTATGTTCAAATAGAAATTGTTTATTAGAAACATCACTATGTAACCATATCAATGGTAGCTGTCAAGGTGGATGTAAAGAAGGATTTAGTGGAATTGACTGTGTTAAAAGATGTGAAGGTGGTGTTTATGGAGCAGGATGTAGTAAGAAATGTTCAGATAGAAATTGTTTAGTAGAAACATCACTATGTAATCATATCAATGGTAGCTGTATTGATGGATGTAAAGAAGGATTTGGTGGAATTGACTGTGTTAAAAGATGTGAAGGTGGTGTTTATGGAGCAGGATGTAGTAAGAAATGTTCAGATAGAAATTGTTTAGTAGAAACATCACCATGTAATCATATCAATGGTAGCTGTCAAGGTGGATGTAAAGAAGGATTTAGTGGAATTGACTGTGTTAAAAGATGTGAAGATAGTGTTTATGGAGCAGGATGTAGTAAGAAATGTTCAGATAGAAATTGTTCAGTAGAAACATCACCATGTAATCATATCAATGGTAGCTGTCAAGGTGGATGTAAAGAAGGATTTAGTGGAATTGACTGTGTTAAAAGATGTGAAGATGGTGTTTATGGTGCAGGATGTAGTAAGAAATGTTAAAATCTTTTTTTGTTTTACCTAGTTTTGGTGTCCGATATTATTCGTTGAAACATTTAAAATACGTAGGAGACATATTTCTCTACAATTTAGCGTTTAATTTACTTAAACCCGTGCAGTAGTTTCCTTCCAATTGCAAAAAAAAATAATAACTTAAAAACCTTACGTAATTGTCTTTTAATAGTTTTGGTGTTAAAAGATTAACGGCTGGATTGTTTGATTAAAACTTTCATATACGTTAAAGGGCACATTTCTCTAAATATTAGTGTATTGTATAAATTTGAGCAACAAAAATACAACCTACAAAAATGGCGGAATGTCCCTTTAAAACAGAAAACTATTTCCATTTAAATTTATAGAATGCGATAAAGGTACATATGGACAGGACCGCCAGTTTAACTGTTCAGGAAGATTCTGTCAGTCTCAAGATAAATGTAGTGGCTCAGTGAGTTAGACGCTTACTCGCTAACCTGAAGGTCGAGATAATACCTTCGGATTTTTCAACCCGGTTTCCCCCCGTCAGTGATGCAGGTTAGAGGGGCTGACATGGAAAAAGCGTCTTATCGTTCGGATGGGACAATAAACCGAGGCCCCGTGTGCTACAGGCTGTGCACGTTAAAGATCTCTCGACAGTTGGAAATCGAAAAAGAGCAGGCTAATGCCGCTGTCCTGGCAAAATTTCCCTCATGGCACCCTGCATGGCGTTGCCCGTCTTTATTAGCCCACAAGGTGCAGAAGTAGGACGTAAAACTCCATTCATTTCATTTCAAGATAAATGTAGTTATATAGATAGAGCTTGTGACTGTTTTGATGGATATCAAAGAATAGATTGTACTGTAAGAGTAAGAGAGCTAGAAAGAGAAATTCAACAGATGGTTAATGGTCCTTAGAAGACACACGCCGTTTCCATCGTCTGTAGTTCCTGTAATTCTGGGAAACTTGATCAGATTATGACATCCCTATCCATATATCATTCAAGCCAACGTTATGTTTAACAGTGATGTCATAATCTGTACAAGTTTTTTTTCTGTAAATATTTCTGAAGAGGTGCGATAGTCTATTCAAAATCTATTGATTAAAGACATACTAAAAAAGGCTGCAGCCAATGGATCACGGATCTAATACTAGGTTTGTCTAAAAGATGGGATCAAGATCTATGTTAGAACATCTGATGCAAGAGAACAAAGACCTCATATGTACCTATGTTTTGAAGTTTAACTTGTATTTCAGAAAATCCTGAAGATTCAGTCACAATCATAATAGCAGCCGTTGTTTCTGTTTGTGTTCTACTCATCATTATTGTTGTTTGTGTTGTACTGATTATCCGGTAAGATTTTCTAACAGATGCATAAGCTGGGTTCTGAACGTCTAGATTTATAACTCATATTCGTAAATGTGGTATCTTTAAATGTCGTTGCGATGTGGTACTGCATATCCTGAGAAGCATTTTCTCAATTTGTTTTTAAAGGCTTGTATTTCTACGTCAAGCAAAGCAGCGAGGAAAGTTCAAATGTAAGATTGGTACTTTAGTGAAGACCAAATCAAAAAGATTTTTATGCAAACAAAACAAA